TGGTCCCCGGCCCTGGTCGGGGTCGTGCAGGAGGCAGCAGGTCGATGTGACTCTCTCACACCGATGTTTCTCTCTCTCTCTCTTCCCCTCCCACTCTGTCTGGAAATAAATGGAAAAATATCCTCAGGTGAGGATTTGAAAAGAAGAGTGCGAGGCAGTGGATCGGGGGATTTTGACCAGCACTTGTGGAGTCTGCTGTGTATCAGGCTGGTATTTACACATGTGCTCTCTCATATCATCCTCACAGCAACGGTAGATGGTAGAGGGATCAGTGGCCTTTCATTAGCTGAGGGGCATGGCGTGAAGACCCCCATACTGAGGCTTTGTTTCACCCGGTGACACGCTAGGTCCGACCTCGCCCTCCGCGCCGCGTGGGGTGACTGACGCCCGCTGAGCAGGACGGTGTGTTTCTGGAGTGTATTAGGGACATACTCAGCAGGCCTCGGTCTTGCCCTTATTCCAGATGTATTTCGCATTAATTAATGCTGCGTCTCCACAATTTTTTTTTTTCTTCTCAGTCTTTGCAACTCTGGAAAAACATTTTCTACTTGGATTAAGTGGTCTGGCCCGGGGTAACGCTCTGTGTTACTTACCTCCTGGGACAGTTGTGCTTTTCTCGGCCTGTTCCAGACTTTTCTGCCTCGGAGCAACTAGTTTCTATCAGGTTCCTTGAAAGGAGGTCCCCCCTCCGCAGTGCGAGAGAATCCAGTAAGCAACGCGCAAGCGGGTGTTAGGAAAACCAGAAATAATGAGAATGCTAAAAGAGTAGATGGGTATTCTAAGTGTTCTCAGAAACATTTGGGCAACTTTGAATTTTTGTTTTAATTTTTTTTCATTGATTTTTAGAGAGGAAGGGAGAGAGAAATATCAATGCCAGAGCAAAGCATGGATCGGCTGCCTCCTGCACGCCCCCTACTGGGGATCGAGCCTGCAACCCTGGGCATGTGCTCTGACCGGGAATCGAACCAGCAACCTTTCCTTGCATGGGACGACACCCAACCGAGCTGCACAGGCCAGAGCTGTTTTAATTTTAATTATACAATAAATATTGGAATCCCTTCTCTTTTAAAAAAAATTTGGAATATCTAGATAATGCTGAAATTTACTTTGATCATCATCACCCATAATTCCTGTTCCCGCCTCTCTGCCTACTGGAAATAATTACTGTTCTGACTCTGGATATATCCTTTCAGATGTTTATAAATATATAAGTGTCCAAGGAAAATACATAGGAGTATTTTATGTGTTTCTAATATTTGGTAATAACATGTAGTATATAACTTTCAGAAGATTGCTGCTTTCACTCATTATTATTATTATATTTGGTGTATTGATGTTAATACGTGAAAATCAGGTTCATTTCTTTCCATTGAATTTAGTTTTCCATTGTTGAATATACTACTATATTTTATTTCTCTCATCTCCTTTGGCTGGACAGCTAAATCGCTTCCAGTTTTTAGCTATTTACAAACAATTCTATAATGAACATCTTTTTACATGACCCTTGCTCACATGTATGGGGTTTTTCTAGGATAGATGAGAAGTGAAATTACTGAGAACGTTCTCTTATTTTTAATTTAGTTTTTATAATCCAAGAAATATGTGTGTGTAGTTTAAAACTCTTATAGTCCGCCCTGGCCGGTTTGGCTCAGCGGTTAGAGCGTCAGCCTGCGGTCCTGAGAGACCCGGGTTCGGTTCCCGCTAAGGGCACGTACCTCGGTTGCAGTTTGTCCCCGGCCCTGGTTGGGGTTGTATGGGTGGCAGCCATTCGACGTGTCTCTCTCATGTCGATGCTTCTCTCTCTCTTTCTTTTCTTCTCTCCCTCCCGCTCTATCTGAAAATAAATGCTAAATAAATAAATAAAATAAAATAAAACTCTTGTAGTCCCTCCAAAGTGAGGTGTAGTGAAAACAGCAGTCCCCAATGACCACCCCTCATTCCTCTTCCCAGAGGTGACAACTTTCAACCTTGCTGATTCTTTTGGGAATACCTACAAATTTCTAAGTAACCTTGGTTACTTAAAACCTTGGTTTTCCTTTTTTCCTATTCAGGCATGACCCCTGGCTTCCCAAACGAGAAGACGAGAATTCAGCTCTCCCTTCTCACCCTCGCCCCCATCACACACGCACACTTGCTCTCCACGTCCTCCCGATATCAATAAGTCATTACTTCCGCTTTACCAACACAGGGCGTTGGCCTTCTTATAGCCACACCACCACGTGTCACAGATAACCCATTGTGTACACAGTCATTGCTTTGCCTGTCTTATGTGCTGCCTGGCAGTTGACATGTCTCTGAGTCCGTTCTTGCAGCGGATGAGTCTGGATGGCCGCTTCTTGCTGCTGCTCGTCCAGTACGTCGAGGGCTGGTCAGCAGTGTTTCGGGCCCGGAGGGCTGTGCACTTACGCAGAGGTGGAGTGGTTTGGGTATGAGTAATGTGTGAAGACACCCCCAACGCCTTTTCCCAGGCCACACAGTCACTCCCTCCTTAGCCCTGAAAGGTTTGTTTCCCTCGTTTGCTCTTTGTTTTCCACCGAGTGCTCTACCCTGCGACGTGCAGCCAGGACGCGGAGCGCTCAGCTTTGGCGGCTGGGGCCCTGATGAGGTGTTGCGCCGAGTGGCTGCGTCCCTGGGCTTCGTTCTTCACAGTTGTGTGTGTGAAGCTGAGATCACCAGCTACATCCTTCTCTCGCTCTCTTTTTTTAAGGGTCAAGAAGGGTTGATATCGTTCATTGTTTGTTTGTTTGTTTGTTTATTTAATCTCCACCCGAGGATATTTTTCCACTGATTTTCAGTTACAGTCGGAGGGAGGAAGAGAGAAACACCGATGTGAGAGAGACACACTGATTGGTTGCCTCCCGCACGACCTCAACCAAGGCCGGGGATCGAACCGCAACCAAGGTACCTGCCCTTGACTGGAACTGAACCCATGACTCTTTGGTCCACAGGATGACACCCTAACTGCTGAGCCAAACCAGCCAGGACTATTTTTTTTTAATAATAGAAGTAATGCAGTCTTTTGGTAAAAAAAAAAAAATTCAAACAGGGCCCAGCCAGTGTGGCTTCGTGGCTGAGCATTGACCCATGCACCAAGAGGTCGCCGGTTCGATTCCTGGTCAGGGCACATGCCCAGGTTGTGGGCCCAATCCAATGGGGGGGGGGGGCATCTCCCTCTCCCTTTCTCTCTCTCTCTCTGACATCAATAAAGAAAAAAAAATTTTTTTTAACTCTAACAGGAAGGGAGATCTACAGAGTGACAGTACAAGGTCCCCTTTGCTGCCCCCAGCCCCGCACCCTCCAAGACCTCCTGCTCTAGAACCAGATTTCCTGGGTGCAAATCCCAGCGCTTTCTAGCTATGTGACCTTGAGCAGGTTACCTAACCTTTGTGAGCCTCGGTTTGCCCATCTATAAGATGGGAAACTAATAGTGCTCACCTCAAAGAGCTTTGTCTGAATTAAATGTAAATGCTTATAAAGTGGCACAGAGAATACACAGACTAGATGTTAGCCAGGGAAATTACTAAGTGTTGTATATCCTTTTAGATCAGTGATGCTTAACCTTGGCTGCATATTGAAATCACATGGGGGAGCTTTAAACATTCCCAATGCCTAGACCCCACCCTCAGCAACTCTGATTTTACAGGTATGGGGTGCAACCTGAGCCTCAGGACTTTTTAAATGCTCCTCACCTCATGACAGTGTAAAGCCAAGGTTGAGAACACTCATGCTACCTATTTTCCACATGTATCAGTTAGGATCAGTGAGGTTATGCTGCAGTAACAAGCATCCCCAAATTTTATTGACCTCTCGTTTATGGCACATGTCCATTGTGGTCAGTTGCAGCCCCAACCCACATCATCTTTACTCTGGAACCCAGGCTGACAGGGTAGCTTTTGTCTGGAGCACTTAGTCTTGTGTATTGGGAAGAGAGAGAGCGTGGCGAACTATGCACTAATTCCTAAAGCTTCTGACCGGAAGCAAAACATTTCTTCTGCTCACATATCATTGGCCAAAGCAAGTCACATGGTCACACCTGAGTTAACAGGGCGGATCTATATCGGGGGCCAGCAGACTGGGAATGGCCAGATAATACATATCTTAGGCTCTGAGGAACATAGGGTCTCTCAGAGCACAGTTACTCTTCTCGGCCTTCAAAACACAAAAGCAGCCATAGACAAACACTGTCAAAAAATGCAGCCATCATTGTTCGCTCGTGAGCCATACCAGAATAGGCAATGGGTGAGAATTAGTTTTCCAACCCCTGGTGGACATCATCCTCCTACAAGGAGAAGCTCTTCAGGAAGGGACCCCAAATATGGGCGAAGAATAATGCAATCTACATGCCATGTGTAGTGAAGAGAGAAAGAGCCCAGCCAGTGTGGCTCTGTGGTTGAGCGTCGACCCATGCACCAAGAGGTTGCCGATTCGATTCCTGGTCAGGACACATGCCCAGGTTGTGGGCCAAATCCCCAGTAGGGGGCATGCAGGAGGCAGCCAGTCGATGTTCTCTCTCATCAATGTTTCTCTCTCTCTCTCTCAAATCAATAAAGAAAAAAAAAATTAAAATACCAAGAGGAGTGGGGCAGCCTCCACAGAGAGACTGTTGCAGAGAGAGCCAGCATCCCAGCTCTGCAGTAGCTTATACATAGTGTCTACTGCTTTCCTGGAAATCTCTCAGGCCTCCCTGAAGACGCATTTTCAAGAAGCCTTCTTTGTTTTAGCCATTTCTGGTCCTTGCAACACGGAACGCAGTTGCAATTCCAGGAGCCTTTGGGGGGAGATCGAAATACTAAAGAGGGTAAACGTAAGTGATGAAAAACTAGAAGGGAAATCTCAGAAGCTGTACAACATTAGCACCCTGACCCCACGTGGAGACGCATCTTAGGCCGAGAGAGAGCCGTGCAGGTGAGGGAGGGCCTTTCAGAGGCGGGACGGGAGGGAGAGCGAGGCTGAGATGACACGGCTCACTCACACGGGACCTGCCCCCTTCCTTCTGACAGGACACCACGACGTCCGTGCGCATCGGCCTGATGATGGAAGAAATGATCTTCAACCTTGCAGACACGCATCTGTTCTTCAATGACCTGGAGGTTTGTTCCATTTTACATTCGCTGTATTTAATCACCTGCATCTGGTTTGGGGGAAGAGAGGCTGCCTTTTTTCTTTTTTTCCCTCTTTTTCCTTTGGAGGCTAGAAACTTAGGCTAGCACCCCCCAAGAAGGCACAGAACTGTGGCCAGCGACAGTTTATTGAAAACACACTTGACTGGATCATGTCCCCGGCTTCCCTGGCATTAATGGGCCTTTCTCTCTGCTCGAGCGGTGACGTCCACTGGAAGTTCTACTAATCAAATAAAGGCCACGTCGTTCCTCCCCCCTGAAATTTGCTATTTAATAAGTTGAGTAAGGCAAATTAGTACAGATCCTCCTGGGTCAGTAATAATTAGCAGTGGGCCAGGATGGGAGCTTTTAAAAACATTTTACATTCCCCTGAAAACATGTTTTACAAAGAGAGAGAGCAAGCAGAGGGACTATGCTTACTTAAAGTGTCTGCTCCTGTGCCCCTAAGCAAATGTCAGGGGAGATAGGAAATGGGCAGAGGAGCTTCAGAAATAAATTTAATTTATTTGTTTATACCCAGCCTGTGTCAAAAGATTTGGAAGTAATTTTAAATGGGAAACATATTTAAAATGGAACTACTAAAGCAAAGGAATAGAAAGCTAGGGTAAGGCGTTAGTTAAAAAAAAAAAAAACCTGGCTCAAGCTAACTACCAAAGTTAAGTTCAGAGTTAATCCCTGAGCTTCCTGGTAGCCAGAGCAAAGAGGGGAAATACAGTGACTTGCTTACCTCTAATGAAAGAACAAGCAGCTTTCTCCAAGGCGGAGAAAGGTTTTTTGGCTGATAGGAGTATTGTAGGGACCTCCTGGCTTTATAAACCGTATTCTCATGATTTGTTTACTGGATTTGGAAATAAAAGGCAACCTAACACAAAACTGTTCGTGAGAGAACAATTCTACTTATCCTAGTAGGATCCCTACCCCCCCCCCCCCGAAGCTGGGAAGTCCCTGGGGACTAAACTGTGAAGTATACGAAGACTATGAATTCCAAGGTTGTTCTGACCAGCCCAGAACATTACTCTGTGCATCATCAGGAAATGCGGCAGGTTGTCCTGTCCAGCCTGCACCCCGTGAGTCCCAGGGGGGCAAATCCTCGATCCTGTGTTCTTCTCAGTCTAGGCAAGCTGCCTGGGCCTCAGTCCTTCGGTCTGCGAAAAGGGCTTGTTCTCTGCCTGGTATCTGCTTCAGAAAGGATCAAGGTAGAAAGTTACTGATGAAGAGAGAATCCCAGTAGCATTAAGGCCCAGGACGGACTCTTTAGCCAAAGGCAGTGTGCAGGCTTCTTTCACAATGACCCCTCGTGCCTTGGGGGGAAAACAGAGGAGGGAGATGCAGAGAGGGAGGGAGAGAAATTAAGAGCAAAATAGAGCAAAATACACAGGGCAGCAAGTATTTATGGAGCCTAACATAGTAAAGGCTCAACGACTTGCAAATAGCAAAACCCAACTCTCTTTATCAAAAAGATGGACGTTCTGGTCCTTGGGGTGGAAAAGCAGATTTCGCTTTGCCCTGTCTCCTCCGAATGTCAGCTGCATGCGAGCGGGGCCCAGGCAGTAAGGAACCAAGCAAGCCCATAAACAAGAAAGGTTGTGATAATGAAAGGGCGTGAAAAAAAGAACACAATGAGATGTGATAGCGAGCGATGGGAGAGATGGGCTGGGTGTAGGGATGAGGGGAGAGGGAGTCAGGGGGGCTCCGGGGCGTCGTCCGACCAGGGCGATGGGGCCATCTCTGAGATGGGCGACACAGGGAAGTGCAGCGGGGAAACCCGTCCTCGCTGGCACACCCCACCGAAAATGCCAGACTGATGGGCAGATATTCGAGTCTGACGCTCTTACGCAGTAAAAATGCCAGACACACAGTGGGCACTTGGCCGACCTTGGCTGAACCAGAGGCTCGGAGCAGGTATCTGCGGGACTGGTGTGTGTCCAGCATCTCGCCCCCTCTGCTGTTCCTCGCTGGCCCGGGCGTCTAAGTTGTGCCTCTTGGAGAAGGCTCTTAATTACCAGCTGGAGCTACTCAGGGAAGCCAGTTTGTTTTTATTCTCTACATTTTTTCCAAAATGTCCCCAGTGCCAGAAGCCCCCGGGCCACTCGGCAGGACTGAAGCCACGTTACGCAATGGAGTGAAGACTCACAGGAGGCCTGTGGGGACCTCGGGGCAGCCTCCCGTGGCTCCCAAGGAGGCCGCTGGGACTGCGGAGAGGCCCAAGGTTTGCAGGAGTCAGGCTTAGGGAACCAAGTCAGACCCTGTCTGCACGGAGCCTGTCATGGGGGTGATAGGAGGGCCACTCCCGAATGCAGCCAACAACAGAGAACTCACCCCCTGCCGGCCCCTACTAAGTGCTGTGGATTCAGTGGCAAAGGAAATACAACAAGATCCCCACCCTCAAGGCATTGACCTTCCAGTCGGGGAAGCAAACTGTAAACAACTGAATATATCATGTCCGATAAAGTGTTCAAAAGGAGGCAGGCAGAGTCAGGGAGGAGATGGTTACACAGGCTGTTACTGGCTTAACCACGTAAGGCTTCTTTGACATTGAGTAGATATGTGAAGGAGGTGAGAATCTGGGTGAAGAGTGTCAGGCAGCGAGAACAGCAGTGCAAAGGCCCTGGGGTAGGTTACACAAACATGGCAGCTGGAGCAGAAGGCGCAGGAAGGATTGTGGTGGACAGTAGGGGTTAGAGGGCAGATCCTGTGGGGCCTTGTGCCATTGTTAGGCTTCGGATAATATTCTAAGGGTGACGAAACCATTGGAGGGTTTGAGCAGGGCAGTGATATGATCTGATTTACGGATCAGAGGCTCCCTCTGGCTGCTGGGTGGGGAACAGACCGAAGGGCGCAAGGGTGGAAGCAGGTATCTGCATTCGATCAGTGGTTCCCAGACTCCCAGAAGCACTCAGGAGACGAGTCTGTGCGCCGTAAGGACTGGTCAGAGACAAGGCAGGCGCCACGTTTGGCTGTATCTCCGGCCATTCAGGATGTGTGTTCTGAGTGTAAGGCAAGCACCTTCTAATCAGTTCAATCTGCCTTTGAGTCCAGGCTCCTGGGCAAGGCGATCCCTCTCCTGAGCCTCAGTTTCCTCATCTGCTAAGTGGTTAGAAGAAAAGCCCTACCTTCCAGGGTTGTGATGATGATGGGAGATGGATGAAAGCAGTCAGCCCAGAGCCCGGCATACTTTGTACGCTCCATAAATGGACCCTCTGCAGCAGCGGGTTACAGGTACCCCTGGGACTGATCACGGGGCGGAGGAGTCACATGGTAGAGCGTCACATTGTTTCATTTAAATCATTAGATACTTATTTTACTACAAGTTAGAAAACATAACTAGCGAACAGCTTGCCCAACCCCTGATTTTATAATAGCTCAGTATCAGTACTACAGTAGAGCAAACCATGACCACGTCAAGGGTCAAAGCCAGCATATTACCTTAAACAATGAAAGAGTAAGGAATACAATAGAATACAGGGCGTGCCACAAATAGTCATGAATATTGCTTTAAAAGTTGTTTCGGTGAGATGAGTTATGTTTCAGTCATGTAAATCTGTGTGACGGAAAACGTCTTTCTGACGGAAGGCCACCGTGGAAACCACGTGACGAACAATGCTTCGGAGCAGTGTGGCCCGACCGTTTCCCACCATGACACCAACGTCCTGGTCTGCACTGTCCAGTGCAGTAGCCACTGGTGACATGTGGTCACTGGGCACTTGAAATATGGCTGATGCGCCCTGGCCGGTTTGGCTCAGCGGTTGGAGCGTCGACCTGTGGTACAGAGAGACCCGGGTTCGGTTCCCGCTGAGGGCACGTACCTCGGTTGCAGTTTGTCCCCGGCCCTGGTTGGTCGTGTGGGTGGCAGCCACTCGATGTGTCCCTTTCACGTCGATGTTTCTCTCTCTCTTTCTTCCTCTCTCTCCCTCCCGCTCTATCTGAACAAAAAATGGAAAAATGTCCTCGGGTGAGGATTAAAAAAAAAAAAAAAAAAAAAAAAAAAAAAACAGAGAAATATGGCTGATGCAATTGAGGCATTGACTTCTTTATTGTATTTCATTTTAACTAATTTTAATGGAAAAAACCACGTGTGGCTGGTGGCTGTCATATTGGACAGAACAGAACGTGCACGTCATTGTGGAAAGTTCTGTCGGACAGTGCAGCTCTAGGGTTCTCATGTGTCAGACGTGATGGTGACGATGACAGTCACCATAGCTGACATTTCACTGGGCACTCACTAGGTGCAGGCACTGTTCCGAGCAGTTTGCATATAGTAACTCATTTAATCCTCACTATTATCGCCCCCCTTGTATTAATCTGCTCGGGCCCTCATAACGAAATAAGCACAGACTGAATGCGTAAACAACAGAAATCCATTTTCTTACCGTTCTGGGATCTAAAAGTCCCAGATTGAGGTGCCTGCAAGTTTGGTTTCTGGTGAGGACTCTTCCTGGCTTGTGGACGGTCACCTCTCAGTCTGTCTCCACAAGGCCTTTCCTGGGTGCCTGTGCAGAGAGAGGGGGAGGGGGAGAAGGACACTAACCCCATCAGATCAGGGCCCCACCCTTATGACCTCATTTAACCGTAATTACTTCCTTAGAGGCCCATCTCCAGAAGCAGCCACACTGGGGGTTAGAGCTTCAACATATGGTTAGGGGAGACCACAGACATTCAGTCCATAGCACCCATTTTACAGGGGAAGAAACCGAGGCACAGAGAAGTCAAGTCAGCAGCCCAAAGTCACACGGTTGGCAGTGCAGTGTTAGACCCACGTGGCCCGGCCCCACGGCCCCTGTACTTATCCACTTGCTGTGCTGCCGCCCTCCCGGGGAAGTGGTTGCCATCCGGCTTGAGGAAGAAGGCTCCCGGCAGGAAATCTAGACTCGCCCAGTACTGCAGACGGCGGGTTCAAAGCAAGAGAGCGCAGGAGCGATGGGTGCAGGAGCCAGGAGTCCTGACAGCAGGGGCGGAGACCCGGCGTGAAC